TACGGTGCTCACACCAATGAATAGTGTCATAATCGCTACAGCGAAGCCAGTGCAGACATTACGATGCTGCAACTGCGCGTGCGTTAATAAGATCGATCGTCCGCAGATGTTAGCATTGTTGGTCGCATCGTTAATGTGAGCGAGTGCGACAATTCGCACGTTAATGCGACGAATCTCCAGGGTGCGAAATTAACGCGAGTCCGGAGTCAAATACTCCCTGATTTACTGTCGGACTCCCTGATTTGACATATGCAGGAGTCCGTGTGACTCCCTAAAAATTCTGCTATACAGGGGAGTGATGACCAGTCTAGAGATGATGGGAGCAACGTTAGTTACGGGTGGCAGGGTGCAAAATTATCGGGAGTCCGGAGTCAAATACTCCCTGATTTACTGTCGGACTCCCTGATTTGACATATGCAGGAGTCCGTGTGACTCCCTAAAAATTCTGCTATACAGGGGAGTGATGACCAGTCTAGAGATGATGGGAGCAACGTTAGTTATGGATGGCGTGGCAGTGGGCTGCAAAAACAGCTGGTAAAGTCAAGTTTGTTGCTGATAGTGGTGGTGGTGGGTTCGCTGGTGATCGGGCTTTGCTGCCCATGTACGTGTCAATATGTCGCTCCCTTTCCATCCTGAAAACCCATCCCCATATGAAAATACATAATTGTGCGCGTACCAGAGAGCACAAGGTAGTACATAGTGGGAAGGCTACAGAGTGACTGTTCTCGCAAGAGAAGGAAATAAGTGAACACAACAGTTATGCTGCTTAAAGGTTGTCAACTTTCTGTGTAAATGGCTATATATAAAAATCTTCCATCAGATCATGTAGGTCACATAGATTCACTATTTCTTCGACATTTATATGATGCACTAACTTCGTTTTACTTCATATTATTGAATTTATTGACAGGATAATTATGATTATGGCTGAGAGCAACATTTATTTATCTCGAAACTGCATTCCTGGCTGCTAAGCAGGCACTAATTCATCTAGTTCACATCCTCTAAAGCCAGGTGGGACAGATGTAAACTCACCTGCCAGAGTTACCCAGATATTCATACGCATACTTCACGGTGGCGTTGATCAATTTCACCTTGCAGTTGAGATCTTCCCAGTAATACCTCAGCTGAGCCAACCACTGGAAGTCATTCTCAGATGCGACTCCTGTGTGCACATAAGAGCATAGACAGTATATAATGAAGCAGGTTATAACAACGCTCGCATTTGAATTCTGTGACATGGGGCAAACTTAATTTACCCTTTATTAAACGAAAGTCATAGTACAAACTAAGAGATTTGTCACAACCTTGTCGTTTATAAGAAATTTCGGTAGTTGAGACGTTTTGGGATATATTTCTAATTCACTTTAATCTTGAATAATTGATCTAATTAAAAAAAAAGATCAGACTCATTGATTTGACAAAACTAACAACGACAACAACTAACTCTACAATGTACACACTCTACAATTGCCTCCTTTGCCCCCTCCTCACACCTAGGCCCTAGATCTATAGCTGGTCAGCGTAGACGGGCAGTGAAACGAAAAGATAAATCAACCATGGCTGAAGAGTGCGCTCACCTTTGTTGGCCATGTCCAGTACGACATCGCGCGCGTGCACGTCGATGACGACCAGCGCTCCGAGGGTGATGCGCGCCTGCGTGGACAGCTTGCCTCTCACCAGCTTCACAATCTCTGACAGCTGAAGGTTCAGCTTGTCGTAGTACTCCTTCAAGCCCTGCGGACCTAGCGGCGAGACGGAGGAACATAGAAAAATTGTTTGTTCTAATGGCAGTACGCAGCAACAGTAATAGACCATGTTACAAGATCCAAAACTAAAGTTAGTATACGCGCTGATAAGAAGAAATATTATAAGTGGCGCCACTAAAGAATTGTAGATAGATTGATGATGGATTATAAAGTTTATCGAAGAATTACAATTACTAACTGATAAATAATGTGAAAAATTAAATTCATAGTTTAATGATGTTGCTCGGACTGTCCTCGTACCTGTGCGGATAGCTTCGTGGACCTCCACGGTCCAGTAGATTTGCGCCACACAGAGGACTACCTGACCAGGCCATTCTGTCACCCACTGGTCACGGGCAGTGACCGCGTAGCCCTGCAGCCATGAACGAACATTCCTTGCACTGACCACGACTATGAAGCTAAATTACTTATGCCTGCCACGACTAAACATGAGTCCCCTGATCAGATTAATACACCTTCACTGGACTACACAACTAACCGCCCCTCACCTGGCACAACTAACCACCCCTCACCTGACACAACTAACCACCCCTCACCTGACACAACTAACCACCCCTCACCTGACACAACTAACCACCCCTCACCTGACACAACTAACCACCCCTCACCTGGCGCGACTGGTCGACAACGTCGCGGATGGACATGAGCATAACGTCCTGCACCTGCAGCAGCCACTTCTCGACGGCGCCTCGCGCCTCCGCGGTCGATATCGGCCGGCTGAAGCGCACGAACTCGCACTCGCTGCTGTACATGCCGTGGATGTTGAGCTGCTGGTCGAACTCGAGCCGCGCGATGCCCTCGAAGCACTTCTTGAGGTGCGGCTGCACGCGCAGCGGGTCCTTCGTCTCGCTGAGGATCTCCAGCATCTCGTCGTTGGAGAGGAAGAAGAACCTATGAGGAGCGGACGACGTGTTACACGTCAGCACGAGTCTTACATGTAAGCAAACAATGTGTTACACACGAGTCTTACATGTAAGCAGATGATGTGTTACACGTAAACGGACGATGTGTTACACACGAGTCTTACATGTAAGCAGACGATGTGTTACACACGAGTCTTACATGTAAGCAGATGATGTGTTACACACGAGTCTTACATGTAAGCAGATGATGTGTTACACACGAGTCTTACATGTAAGCAGATGATGTGTTACA